GCAGTACAGCCCGCAACTCAGACTTGGGAAAAAATCAGTGGGTGGCTGTATTCTGACTGGTTGGCAGACCGCCGACCGGTCGGCCCTACTGGTCGGCTGCAAAATGGTCGGCGGTCGGCAGGTATGCAACCCTGCTCGGCATGGATATGGTGTTGAGCGTCCTGATTAAGTCAATTTAGGGGTGGGGGGTGGGGGGTGGGGTTAGTGTTGCATACAGCAAGCAAGGGTGCGGTTTCCAGATGTCTTCAGGATGTCTGAGAGACTCTTGCTGCCTCCGCACTTTCCCCCTCCAAAAAAAAAAAGAAAAAAGAAAAAGAGAATAAACATTCTATCCAAACGGAATGCAATATACTGCTTCATTGTGTTGCATTTTGCATGTCTGTCATTTTGGATGCCCTGTGTCACCTTGTGTGTGCTTGCACTTCGAACGGATTGGAATCCTCGCCTCTTGCAGACACCGACTGCGGATTTTTTGTGCATGCTCAGCACACTTTTGGTCATGGATGTCTGACTAATGCTTGCTGTCCTCACCCTGCATCGCATGAAAAACAGAAAAGACGAAAAGTGGGAAAATTGTTGTTGTATCTCACTTTTGATTGGGCTTTTCTGTCGCACCTGTGATCGAGGCCAACTTGTCGTTGTGCCCAGGGACTCCTCCAAATTGTCATGGTATCCTACTTTAGCAAGTGGTAAATTGTCCACGTAACTGGGGTCGGCCAAATTGTCCATGTGCCCTCAATGGAGGGCATGGTAATTGTGCATATGCCAATGCAGCCTGGTCGTGTCAAGGTGGCATTCTCCTCTCTCTCTCTCTCTCTCTCTCTCTCTCTCTCTCTCTCTCTCTCTCTCTCTCTCTCTCTCTCTCTCTCTCGTGCCCCTCTCTCTCTCTCTGTTGTGCCTCTCTCTCTCTCTCTCTCACATGGGCCAACAGCTGCTAGGAGTGCAGGGTTGGTGTGAGTGAAGTCAACCAGTCCTTAGCAATCCATCTGTCAAATGCATACTGGGCAGACTGTCGGGGTTCAACCTCCTGCTGAGTCGGTGAAGTCCGAGAAACGGTATGGGACAGCGATGGTTTTTGTGTGGAGTCGTGTAGCGAACATGACAACACACTTGCTCGTTCCCCCCCTTTTCGCCCCCGCCCTCCCTCATGTTCTCTGTCACGCTCACACACGCTTGCATGTGCACTGGCCTCTGTGTGTGTGTGTGTGTGTGTGTGTGTGTATGTGTGTGTGTGT